ATGGCCTGAACCAAACAAGTTTCCCTGGTCACTAGGCCCATTGCTCTTGGAGAACCTTACCAGATCAGCAACTACTCTCAGGTCCCTTGTCTATATCTCTACCATCTCTGTTTTCCCTTGTTTCTCCCCTTGTCTTTCTGTTTCTCTGCACTCAGACTTCTTTCTCATCTCCTCTATGTTCTCTATTATTGGAGTCATCTCTGGAGATGAGGGCTGGGCCTGGGTGCATGGGGGGGGTAGTGGCCAGACCCAGGGCCCGGGACATGAGTGCAACTTTCCAAGCTTCTCTTCCAGGCCCCTGTGGTTGGGGAGCTCCACAGAGGGAGAGATGAGTCAGCAGGGCCGCAGAACTGGCCTGAGTGGGGGTGGGCATGCTGGGATTCCCCAGGGCCAAGGAGTTCGCTGGGGCCATCTGAGTCTCTGAACTCTGGTAGATGTGGAGGAGTAAAGGATCAAAGGTACCCAAAGGAACACAGGAGGTACCTAAAATAGTAGGAGGTGGAGGCAGCAATTTGTAGGACTGGCAATTGTTCTCACATCACCCTCATCCCCAGGTTCTTGTAGGGAGAGGGGTTCCTAAATTAGGAGTTCACAGGAACTGGGTATGATGACACATGCCTGTAATCCCAACTACTCAGGAGGCTGAGGCAGGAGGATCACAAGTTGGAGTCCAACCTCAGCAATTTAACAAGACCCTATCTCAAAATAAAAAGGGCTTGAAGTGAAGCACATCTGATCCCCCAGAATCACAAATGAAACAAAACAAAATATCCCAAAAAATAGTCCTCAGGAATTTCTCAAGCAGTAAAGTTATGGTGATAGGCCAGTGTGTATGCAAGTGACATTTTTCTGTGGGTAGAGCTGTATGTATTGATAAGAGTATGTGTGTGGAGGGCTGGGGTTGTGGCTCAGCAGTAGAGCACTTGGCTAGCATGTGTGAGGCCCTGGGTTCAATCCTCAGCACCACATATAAATAAATAAAATAAAGCTGTATGTAATAAATGTATGTGTGGATTCATGAAGTATATTATGTAACCATTAGTTTGTATGTGCTTGTACATACAATGGTGTGTGCCTTTTTATAATTAAGGATTAAAAGGCTTGAGGTAGATATTATGTGTATAGCATATGTATGTATCAGAGTGGTATGTACATATCACGTGGGTGTCTGCATTGTTCATATATGTGAATGAGTTACCTAGCATGTGTGCAAATGTATGCATCTGAATGCATGTCATGTCACTACTGTGGAGGAAAGATCCCTCCTTCCTCACCCACTGTCCTCTGTCCACTCTTTTGATTAGGCTCCTTCTGAGGGCCCTAATCCAAGGGGATTCATCCTTTCCCTTGATGCTTTATAAGTTTGTCTACCCTAGACAGAGTCATCAGTGAACAGCAAGCAGAACCCCTGAAATAGAGATTGACACATACTATAATACATACCTGATGAGTGACACATTCAGACATCAGTGGGTGAGGAAGGAGGGAGCTTCCCTCCAGGGTAGCGGTTAGAGGTCTCTCATTCTCCCAAGGTTTTGCTCTCTCTCTACTCCCACTGACCTTTCCAAAAAGATCCAAAATCATTAGACAGAATGAGGTAGGTTCCAGATTCAACTCCTATAGCCTAGAAAGCCCACCCTGATTCTCCCAGGGGAGGGAGAGAAGGGAGTGGTCTCTGCGGTTCAACCCAGTCCTGGCTTTGGGAGATCAGAAAGGTACTATCCCACCCCTTCCTTCAGGGGCGTCCATCGCTGGGAGCTCAGTGTCTGGGTGGCCATGGGCGGAGGCTGAGGGGCCCCTAGGGTGGTGGGGGGTGGTGGATAGAAACCAGATGCCTAGGGGGTTTATACTGGAAGGACCAGAGCCGCAGCCTCTACCCGCCCCTGCCACATGGCGCCTCTGCCTGGGCTGCCCCACCCCCTGGAAGGCTGGGCTGAGGGAGGCCTGAGAGGGTGGAAGTGGGTCCTTGGTAAGGGATTCCAGTTGCTGCCCCTACCCCCTACGCACTGGGGAAGTAGGGTGGGGAACAAGACCCAGGAATACCAGGACCTCAGCTCACTCGGCTGCAGTACTATGTTTAAAATGGGTGTGGAAGAAGTCGGAAGCCAGGACCTAAGGCAGGCGGGACTGAGGGCTACAGAGGGTTTTGGGCAGCCACTCTGCCAGTCTGGTGCAGAACTTTGATGGGAGTCATGGTCAGTCCAGGGGCTAACCTATTTGGGTTGTCACATCAAGGGCTCTGCTTCACATTCCCCAGGACCCTGCTCCTTTTTTTTCTTTTCTAGCACTCTTTGGGTTTGAACACTTCTGCCACTTCCCATGTAGGATTAAGGGTTACTAAAGCCCACAAGGGAAGTAAAGAAGGTTGATCCTTCTCCTAATCTCCTCCCCCAGTCCTGTCCTTCATTTCATCTTTTTACCCTTTAAAAAAAAAAAAACAAAAAACACACAACTATTTTCACTTGTAGATGGACACAACTCCTTTATTTATTTGTTTATGTGGTTCTGAGACTCGAACCCAGGGCCCTACACATGCTAGACAAGCACTGTACCACTGAGCCACAACCCCAGCCCTACCCTTTTTCTATTTCCCTTTCAGTCTTTTTTTCTTCTCCAATCTAGTTTGAGCACCAACCCCCTCTCACACCTCCTGTCTCAGATTTCTCCCCTGCCTCAGTTTCCTGCCTGGTCTAACTGGTTTGCCTCTCTTCTATTGGCAATACAGCAATTTCTCTAATGCCTGCCTTTCTTCTCCCAACTTCTGATCTAGGGACCCCAGAAATCCAACTAGCACCCGAGGCTCAGGCTAAACTACCCCCCCAACCAGGCAACCAGGGGGAGACAGCAAGGTCACAGGGACACCCCACCACGGGCACTTCCTCTAGGGCAGACGGGTGGGGTGGCCCATGTAATCATCGGACACAATTATGTGCTATTTATACTCCCTCCCCGCCCCCCCACCTGCTGGCTACTTAACCCTCCACCTCCTCCAGACCTGGCCAAGCCTCTGGCTATTCCCCAGTCCTTCTAAGCCATTGTCTCTCCATCTTTGTTCCTCTTTTAGTTTTTTTTTTTTTTTTTCCCTGGTCTCTCTGGTTTTTCCAAAGCCACATATCTGGTCTTCTGTTTTCCTTTTCCCTCTTTCTTACGCCTTTTGATGTCTCTTCTGATTCTCTTGGACTGTATCACTTGCTCTTATGTCTCTTGGTCCTTCTGTGTTTCTCCTTTTGCTTCATTACTTTTGTCTGAAGGCCACCTGGTTCCTAACCCCTTCCTGCAAAGTTGGGCTCACAGGATTCCTTGTGGGGAAATACGTCCTACCCTGAACTTGGTTCCTGCTTGCTGCGTCCTACCCTGAACTTGGTTCCTGCTTGCTGCTTAAGCTGCTGTGTACCCTCCCTGGACCTCTATCTGCTCCTTTCACCTCCGAGCTTTTTCCTTGGAGAGCTGGGAGTACAAAAGAAGCACGGAAGTGGGCCCTTAGAAAGAGAAAGTGAGGAAAGGAAGGAAAGTGGGGAAAGACAGGCAGGGCTGGGAGGGGACCCAGGGTTGTGTTGGAGAAAAAACCTGCCTAACAATCCCTGCCAGGTCCCCCCACATACACACTACAGTGGGACAGATGCTGGTTCTACCACTTGGTGGCCCAGTCTTCTCTCTCCCATAAACTTACCCCAGGACCCATCTGTCAGTTAACAGACCTTTTGGGTTGCCCTTTCCCAATATGGTTCA